ACACGGACCGGTGGAGGAACCCAACACAGAGACCCGAGTGACCTTGCTGGAGGCTCCTTCCCAGAGTCGACCTGACGTCGTCTCCTGGCCCAGCTGCTTCCAGAGGAAAGTGCCTGCGGGTCCCCACAGGCGCAGGAAGGGGCAGAGTTAAGGTGATGGGCTCACCAGCAGGCTGCCTCGGCCATTCCGCTTGAACGGTGCCTTACCCTTTTTTTTGCAGTTAGTTCCCTAGGCATTTTTAAAGGGAAGAGAATATCTCCTAACCTTGTCTCGCTGTCCCCTTGGACTCCCTGGAAGCCTATCTCCATCCCCCTTGTCTGATGCTTAGACAGGGAGCTCTGTGATGCAAGGGCCACCTTTCTATTGTGTTTGTGCAGCGCCTTGTCCATGGCTGGAACTCCTCGCTGCTGCAGGAATATAAACAATTCATAACGACAAAGAAATATCTCCATGCTGAAGGGGTTAAAGGCTAACTGGTGCAGATGGACAGAAGCAGTAAACTGTGGCCTTGGGGTGAAATTCACCCCTGGGCAGAGGGCCCCTACAGAGTCCATAAGTCCCTTACATCCTCAGCCAAGGGCATAAGTGGTGCCCAGTCCTTGCTGCATGATGGGAAATTTCACCCATGTACACTTAAGCCCCCAAAGGTAGCAAAATCTAGCAAAAAGGAGTACTTGTGGCACCTTAGAGACTAACCAATTTATTTCAGCATAAGCTTTCGTGAGCATCCGATGAAGTGAGCTGTAGCTCATGAAAGCTTATGCTCAAATAAATTGGTTAGTCTCTAAGGTGCCACAAGTACTCCTTTTCTTTTTGCGAATACAGACTAACACGGCTGTTACTCTGAAACCTAGCATCTAGCAGCATTGCAGAGGTCCATAGAATGCTTCCTGGCATGCAATGTAAGGAATCCTTAGGGTAGCATCAGAGGCACATGGCCCTTGGCAAACCCTCTCGTTTTCCACTGCACTGAGGCTTCTGCGTGGGGTAATTTCCACGACCCCTTTCTAGTCATAATACTCCACCCGTCATTAGCAATTCTGCACACATGCACCTGGGAGATTGAAAAAAAGCCTTGCAGGGCAGGCTCACTCCGCGTTGTCTAAGGCTCTGCAAACCCACTGAAAGTCCCATTGACAGCAGCTAGGGCCACACCGCCTCTCGGCATCAGTGGGTTTTGCAGAAGATGTGTTTTAGGTTTAGGCGAGGTAAAAGTTTTACAGTGGGAAAAAAGTGTATTTACTTCTCCCCACACCCCATCGCACAACTGCACACACAGACACACCCTTTCTCTACCACAACTCAACAGCAATTCTGGAGAAGGCACTCAGTTCCCCCCCCAGAATGCACCTTTCGGCTTAGACCAAGCCAAGAACATTCATCCCCCACAGGCGAGTGTCTGGAAAAGTTACAAGCACACTGAAAACAAGGAGGAGGGGAGGGGTGGTAAATGGAAGCTGTTTTGCAACCTTCAGAGAAGTCAGAGGTTAAAAAGTGCTCTGGGCAGGATGGCCTAGTGGCAAATGCGGCTGGAGTAAGGGTCAGGAGACCAGGTTCTATCCCTGTCTCTGCCACAAGCCTTGGTGAGTCACTTTAGCCGGGACTCTTAAAGGAGTCAAAGGGAGGCAGGAATTCTGTCCCAGCCTCCCGTGCCTCAGTTTCCCTGTAAAATGGAGAGGACACTTAACTTCCTGTGTGAAGTGTTTTGAGATTTACCCAGGAAAAGCCCCTGAGAAAAGTCAAGTAGTGGGATTCTGGTTTCTTATTCCATGGTCCACTGCAGAATGGCTCTCTCCAGGACCCTTTCTAGCGTGTTGTCCAGTCTAAGTTTAAAAGTCCCAAGCAATGGATTTCCCCCCACTTCTCCTGGGGGGGGGGGGGATGTCATTGCACAGTCTAATGAAGGTCAGTGCTAGGAAGTTTTTCCGGATAGCCTGCCTGTGTTGGGCCAATCCTCAGCTGGTGTCAATGGATGCAGTTCTGCTGACGTCAATAGAGCTGGGCTGATTTATACTCACTGGACATGTCACTTCATTTGATCCCAATACTCCTATTAATGTATTGGTGTATTGCCCCCAATCACCAACAGGCCAATGTCTCTGACGTTGCAGGGGAAGGTCACACAGATGTTATGGGGGTAGGTCTTTAAGTCTGTAAATATATGCAAATTATGTATGGCCAGCATGTATGGAACTTTGCCAACGACGTCTCACAGCATCACAACATCTGGCCACTCTTGACACAGCCCGGGTGATACCTGGGAGAAAGCATCCTCACATGGCACGCAGGTGACAACCAACACACTAGCGCTGTCTCAGGCTGTGCGCTACAAGCCTCACCAGGAGCAGAAAGGTTTGCAGGTGCTGTGGAGGGGCTGGGTTCTCTGCCTCATTTTACAGGGAGCAGAGTTGCTGGCAGCATAGTCTAGTAGGTAGGAGACCCGAGTTCTAGTCTGACCTCTTGCATAAAGTCTGTCAGCAGGTCAGTGGTAGTCACTTCCCTCTGTTTCTCCTTCCATCTTTTGTCTATTCAGACAATAAACTTTCTGGACCGGGGCTGCCTCTTTCTACATGCAAGGTCTTTACAGCTGCTACTGGGTTATAGTTAAGAAGGGATGTCCGGAAGTGGGGAGGAATGGGGGCGGAGGTGGGGGGGGCGTTTGAGTCCTTCCAAGCTTTTTTTTTTTTTTAATTAAACAAATACCTCTTACTGTTGTAACTCTGGCTGCTCTCATTCTCCATCAAAACGTTCTCTTGGATCCTGCTCAGCTCCAGGCTTCAGCACAATCCCGTGGCAATGAGTTCCACCAGCTACTTGAACATGGCATAAAAAAGTATTTCCTGTCATACTGTTTATAAAAAAACTGCTGCCTCTCAATTATCTTCAGATTTTAATTAAACACCCACCGTTCTACCCTTTGCTGGCCCAATCTTGCGCCGAGGTCCCAGGCCAAAGCCACTGCATATACCCGCCCCACTGTTTATGCCAAGCGGCATCCTTAGATCACTGTCTTGGCTCCTTGAGATCTCTTGGCCCAGGCTACCCAGTGCAATATCTTGCCTCTTGGGCCCTGCTTCAAACCCATCCTAGGTGGGAGGTTAATAGACACTGTTATCATCATACAAATTACTGGGTGGCCTTCATCCTCTCACTGGATAGGAGTACTAAAGACGTAACCTTGCTGGCAGACCCATCCGAGAAAGCAAGGGGATTATTAATTATGAGTCATGGACTAGGAGCCCACTGTGCTAGGCACTGTACAAACACAGGACAAAGCTGGCCCCAAAAGCTTTCAATCTGAACAAGGTCATCTAAGTGAAACCGTCTGCCCCTCATTTGCATTCAGCTTCAGGGACAAGGGTTAGTGCTGCCGAAAGGAGCCAGCTCAGCAGCCTGGAAGATTGGCCACCCCTAAGCTGGCCCAGCTGTGCAGCAAGCTGCCCCCAGCCTCCCGCACCTTCTTTGCCTCGGAAAGGATTTTCCAGTCTCCATTTTTTAAAAATCTGTTCAAAACTCAGAAAGACTTTAAAATGGCCCTGAGATCAATCCGGCTGGAGGAGGCTCTAGTCTCTCTTCATGAATGAAGCAGGGAAAGAACCGAGAAAGAACTAGAAGGAGAGTGCAAAGGCAGGTCTTGTTCTGCTGAGGGCCCACAGTTCTGATCCCGGTGGACTGGGATTGCCAGGCCGCTCAGCGCCTCTCTGCGAATCCCTGTGTGGGAGCCGGAGGTGGGATGACTCATGTGAATGCTGGCACAACAGCAATTAAAATCTGCAGCTGCTATTAATAGCTGCCAGCGGAGGAGCCTGGCCGTCGCTGAATGAGTGCGGCTCCCACGCAGCTGTCAGCACGACTCCCATTGAGAAACACAAGCGAGTAACAGCACAGAGCCAGCAGGGAGGGGTCCCCGCATTCTCGGGAGACTCCTCCCTGGAGATGCAAGTGACAGGATCCTGCTGCGAACACGATGCTTCCCACCCTGATTACAAGGGATGTTAGGCAGTGACCCCCTGGGGGAGACAGACTCTTCCTCTACCAATGATTCAGGGCCAAGACAGGGCTTTCCTAGTTGCATAATAAACCCACCCCTTCACTGCCTAGCTGCAGCATGTACGGAACAATTCCTTGGCCCCTTGACGTGGAAGGAGCTGAACCGTTACTCATTAAAAAAAGAAATCAAGGCTCCTCCATCGTTTTAACGGATACTGGGCTCTTCCTCCTCTCATTCTTTTCACTCCAAGGTTCCAGCCGGAAGGACTCCTGCGGGCTGTATTGTCTTTGGTGAACCCCACTGGGTGAAGCATGTCAGAGATTCCACGGGGTATCTCCATTGGCCTGGTGGCTGAGATCAAGCGTAGAGATGATGAGGTTTGCTCCCACTCCTGATCTAGTGGGCGAATATTTCCCAACAACTATACTTGGGCTGTCAGCACTTTGGGACAGAGCCCGTCTTTTGCTTTGTGTCTGTACAGCACCTAGCACAGCATGACTAGGTTCGCTAGGCACTACCAGAACACAAATACGTAACAACCTGTCTGCAACAGTCCTAGCTGCTTTTCGGTTTACTCAACTAGACTTTGTGAGTCAATTCCCCCTGCCCTGTGCCTGGGACAGTCATGCCAGTGCAGACCTGCAAAACCAACCCCCCAGATGAGAATGGGGGCCTTATGCACCCACAGAGCATAGGTATAAATGCCTGTGCAAGACAACGAGCAGTTGGCCCCCATAAGCCAAATTCCTACTGGAAATAAGCAGACAACTCCACAGAAATCAGGTCTGAACTGACCCAAATGGCTTTTACAGTTAGCCAGGCCCAGGGTGTAAATCTGGAACTGGATCATGGCATGGAAGGCTCTGGCTGTATCGGGGCCCCTTACCCACAAGCTAAATGCACACCATGTGTATGTCATGGGGAAGCATCCGGAGAAGCAGACTGGGCCATGGTGTCACAGGCAGAGCAGCCCAGAAACATTAAGAACTAAACAAGTGAATGAAACAAATCAAGAAAAGAACATAGTGTTTATTGGGAGCAGTTGTCAGCTTTCTGCGTTTCTAAACAAAACAACAACTGTACAAATAATAACCGCAAGTTGCCCGCGCAGTTAAATAAATATTCTCATCACACACATGGGTGGATCATTCTGGAGCACAGCAGATTAACAGGAAAAGGTCTGACCTGAGACAGTCCCTGATCCATCTGCAAAATGTGCCAAGTTTGTGGCTCTTAAGGTGTTAAATCCCAAAGTCTATCAAAACAGAAACCTGCCTTGATTGCAAAGGGCTTGCCCCTTCCATCAGCCCAGCTGGAACTCTGGAACCCAAGAATGATGAATGACCAGCACTTGCCCCAGGCCTGGCTCTAAGGGGTCCTTCTGCAGGAATATTAACAAGTACAATCAATCCTGCTAGGACGATGTGTTGAGGGTTGGGACTGCCTCCTGTGCCAAACCTCAGTCCATACCAGGGGGACTTTCAGTTCCCTTGAGGGGTACACTTTCCTCTTCTGTGAGCACAATCTCTTGCACATGAGCAACCCCCACAGGAGTATTTTAAGCTGTATCAGTCCACTCTCGCTACTGGGGGGTGTGTGGTGTCCAAACAATCTGAAAATGCCTTTAGCCCTTTGCTAATAGCTTGGGGTACACTCAGATTTGCCCATCCTGAGCAGATGCCCCTGGGACACCACAGAGTTCTTTTAAAAAAATCAGCGTACTCAATTGTTTCTCCCTTCGTCATGGCTGATTTTCTGATCAGACTTGTGCTAGTGCAGGGTCCCTCTGTGTAGATCCGACTGCAGAATCGGGACCTACGCTTGTAAAATAAGCTATTTTGAAACTGAAATCTACACCAAAGTGGTACAGGTCACTTGGCCTTTAATAGAAGGTGAAAATGGGATATCTGATTGGAGGACACACCTTCTGCCCTGCCAAGGGGATGTTTCTCTCTCTCTAACCATAGCACTAGCCCCGAATGGACGCCCCTTTGGAGAAACCCAGCGTTTACGAGAGAGACGAAAAAGGTCGCTCAAAGTGGGAGTGCCATTTTCATAGCCACTCGAGTTCCTTGAGCTTTCACCATTCTTTCTAGTCTGGGTTGGGAAGGCAACTGCACTAAAGCCAGTTATTTCTCCTTGTTACAAGGACTAGTTTTAAGTTTGGCCATTGTCTCTTTTTGTGTCATGGGGTATGTCTACACTGCAAAGAAAAACCTGCAGGGCCAAGGCACCGAGCATGGGTCAATTGACTCTGGCTTGCGGGGCTAGAAATGGCAGTATAGACATTCTTGATACAAGAATCTGCAGGCTGAGCGGTAGCTCGAACATGTTCAAACCTCGGCAGACCAAACATCATCCCAGGGGGCTGGATGTGATCCATGTGCAGGTCTACATCACTCACCACATGCTGGAAAGGAGGAGCCCTTCCTTTACATGGTATTTATGCACTTGACATTCAGTTAGAGGAGCTGAATGACCCCTCACCTACGCCAGTTTAACTCGGTCAATGTAAACGGCTGCAAAGGCCCTTCTACCATCTGATGTGACTGGGAGGATTTCAGCATGGTGCAGCGCCTGGGCTGGACCTTGCAGCTCCCTGTCCATAAAGACCAGCAATCTGTCCTGTGATCTTGTTATGAGAATGTCAAAATGAAATCAAAGCCACGTTCCATGGAAAGAAACCTGCAGCACTGACTGGCTGCCCCAGAGCCATGGGGCAGCTTTCCTGTGTGTCCCAGCAGAGAGTAAGCAATTTGGCCTGCACTCCTGAAGAGGCTTCCTGCAGGCCTGAGCCAGGCACCCACTCAGCAGTAGCAGGGTGGGGAAAGGATGCTGACAGAAGATGCTGCTAACTTCCCAGATAAGGAAACCTGGACTCTCGCTCCTTCCTTCGGACAAACTCTGCAGAGAAGGGCCCTTAACTCAGAAGTACCACTGAGCAAGTGCATCTTTCTGGGCCAGGAAATCTATTCCTGGTTTGGACTGGGGTAGGCACGTTCCTGCAAGTCACTGGAGCTTTGTTGGGATAAGCCTTGGCTATTGATTTAGCTTGAGAGCATCCTTTAGGCTGTGGATCACTTACAGGGAGGCACTCCATCTCCTACCTTGCTCTGATTAGCATTCAGCAAATACCAGGGTGTCCTACAAGCACTGGCAGAGGCGCATGGGAGCTCCAGTAAAGAGGCAGCCATTACCAGTGGCTGTGGTTTGCCACAGGAGAGATGCAAATCTGGATACCACCTTGGGATTTTGGCTCCTCTTACAGGAAAGAGCTGATGACAGAAGGGAGATCCAACTCTTCTGCACCTCGCTTCTCCAGTTCATGTCACCCCAAAATACACCGCCCCAGTCAAAGTCAGAGCATTAGAGAAATGACAGGCATGTACATGTGACAGTCTGATAGAGACTGCCGCTCACACATTGAGATCCAGTGGCAATATCAGCCCTGCCTGGCCAGCTGAAGGGTTTGAGGATGGGGGAGGATCCTGAATGTGGAAGTGGAGGAAAACAAAATGCTCTTGAACAAATGGGCAAGTGAAAACCCGGGCACTCAGACACCGCCCACTTCCACTGTCTTGGAGGTGCTCAAATCTTCTGGCCACCTACCTGCAGGATGGAGCCAATGCAGGACAAAAGGGTCTGCAGCCAGACACAGACCAGCTTTAGAAAAGCAGCAATTAATCAGCAGCAATACCCATCCCACCTTTGATTTACAAAATGAACAACATAAAACCAATCCCCTGTGAACTGCCCGTGGCCTACCTAGTTGCACATTAAAGCCCACATCAAACATGTTGGGGTCCATTGTCACCGCACGCGCACCCCCTTTCTAGTGATAATACTCAGCACTTCCACAGCCAGGACATGAACTGGCTAATTCTCACAACACTCCCAGGAGGCAGGATAAATATCATCAGCCCCTTTTCACAGAGGGGGAAAGACCTAGCCAAGGTCACTCAGGGCTTCTATGGCAGAGCCAGAATTGAACTCAGAACTTCTAGACTCATCCCCCCGGTCTCAGTCACTCCAGCAGTGAGGACGATTTGGGGGGAGGGATAGCTCAGTGGTCTGAGCATTGGCCTGCTAAACCCATGGTTGTGAGTTCAATCCTTCAGGGGGCCATTTAGGGATCTGGGGCAAAAATTGGGGATTGGTCCTGCTTTGGGGACTAGATGACCTCCTGAGGTCCCTTCCAACCCTGATAGTCTATGATTCAAGATCCAAACCAAACTGATAGATTCCCTGATACTAAGGTGGTGTGGGAGAGCAGGAAAGAATACAATCTATCCTATCTCACAGCATCAAAGACCCCCAAGTATACTCCCTCGCCACTCGTGTTCTACAGCTGTTGTGTAGTTTTCATATCTGATTGAATGTTTTTACATGCAGAAATCTCCAAGTCATTATGGACACTATGCCTGTCTTGCCATCAAAGCCCTGAAGAGGCCAGAATGAAGGGCGAGCGATAGAAGCAGCAGGGTAGGTTGTGACTGCTGCGCTGGAGGCAAACCTCCATGCGGTGGCTAGCTACGAGAGAGAGAATGTTTACAATGCCACCTGCCAGCAATTCTGTATTTGGGAACCAAATTGGCACATCACGCCAAACTGTATTTTAACTGGCCCTTGCTAACTGGGGTCACCTGAGGCCTATAATTAGCTCCTCCCCATTTCTTCCAAGTAAGATTAATTAACTTTGGTGTTCTGTAGCAATTAAAATATTGGTTGCCAGACACCATCAGTTGGTCCTCGTCAGTCACCATACGGGACAGATGTGCCAGTATAAGAGAGAAGCAAACATGTTAGCACAAAGAAGACATGGCTTTGGGAGAGTCATTTTGGATCCATCCAAGGGTGAGTCCCCCACAAACCAAAATCCACCTCAGACAGTTGGAATGCCCTAATTCTGTGTTCTGGAAATTGCAAACATCAGTTTGTTACAAACTCAAGACCATGAGGCCAGAGCTCCCTGGATGCTCTGGAAAGGATTTTGGATTTTAATGCTAAGTTTTTCAAAGTGATCGTTACCCAAACTCCTAGAGATTCACATCGGTGACTGTGCAATGAAGAGCCAGACAACAGTGATGGAACACGACACATGGGGGTAAAAAGGACTCTGGCCTGTTGCTTTGATTAATCTCTCAGGAACAATACCAACCCAATGGACCTTTTGTGGCTTAACAGAATTTCTGCCAGCAGAGGATCCTGGCTCAAATCTCACCTAAAAGACATTTGTTGTATCCCAGAACAGTTGATATTTTTGGCAGTTATTAACACCAACCAGGTTTCTTCTCAAAACTAAACTGGCACAAGCAGCTTAGTGCTGTTTTGCGATCCATTACCCCAGCCTGCTTTCAGTTTGATTTCTCCGTTACTTTTCACCTCCTTGGAGCCCAGAGACTGAAGGCAGGAGCGACAGAATATAAAGTCAGGTTACCCTGTGCTGTGGGGTGGGATCTCTAGACAAACAGCAGAATGCACAGCAGACAAGGTCCCTTCGGAGGTAATGTTACAACCAGTTACTTCACCATGACCTCCAGCAATCTCCACACCAACGCCACAACCCATCGTTCCAATGCCACATGAAACCTCTTTCTGGACACTCCCCAATCTTATTTTCTGTGCACCCCTTTTGCCAGGTCGATGCGTAAACACCCCCCAGACTGTGATGTTCCTTAGTGTCCCTACTTGGCTGGAAAGGGGTCTTGTTCTCGGCACCATTTACAACAGGGAGGAATCGGGGTTTACTGTCCGTCAGTCCAGCCTTCACCACTTGAAAAAGACAAGCAACGCCAAGGTCGTGTAGCCCAAGACCAGGAAGAGGACCTTCAGCAAGCGATCATTCTTATCTTCCAGTTCCTTTGCCAGGATCTCAAAGAAGGTGACAAACAAGAAAGTTCCAGCAGCAATGCCCTGTAAGAGCACAGAAGCCACACTGCTGGCCAAGTTCTGGGCGCTCTCAATGCCCATGCCGATCCCAATACCCAAAGGAATCATCAAACTCACGGTAAGTGCTAGCTTGGCAGCGTCCTTCAATGTTAATGAGATCTTGGCCATGCTGATGCCCAGCGCCACAGCCACCAGTGTCTCATGGATGGCCACGCCCAGGAACAGACTCATGACTTTGTTTCCTTCCTCCTGTAGGCCCAGGGCCAGGCCCTCAAAGATGGAGTGGGCAGACAAGGCAAACACCAGGCTGAAGAGCCGCAAGGGGCTGGATTGGGAAAGCTCCTGGACGTTCAAGCCATGGCTGTGGGAGTGGTGGCCATGCTCTTGGTAAAGCGTGCGCCCTCTGGAAGATGCTATGAAGGGGCTCTCATATTCTGAGTCACTCCCGACATCTGAGCCGGCGTTGAAGGTCTCCAGGTCGATGAAGGAAGGCTTCTCCTTCCGAAAGGTCAGGATGAGCTGCTCCACAAAGACAGTCATAAAGAAGCCCACCAGCATGATGGTCTCGGCCAGGGGGTAGTCTGCGGTCACCTTCCCAAGCTTGAGAACTTCTTGAAGCTGGAACAAAGGGAAAGGAATCTGCAGTGAAACTGGCTGCATCTTTCACCATTCAAAATAATATGGGGGACTTCTCCCTAAGCTTTAAACGTTTTCAATGTAAAGACTGGAACCACAGCAGGTACCCAACCACGGGCATCCGCCAGGGTACATCAGGCTTGTGTTACTGGGTCTCTAGGATCCTCCACCTTGCTTTAAGGATCAGCCTCTTCCTGGGGTTCCCATGGCTTCTGTTTAATGGTGTACACTTTAATATGCAATGAAGCTGGCACTGCCTAGTCTCAAAATGATGAGTCTGGGGTTAAGGGCAGCCCAGGCTTGTGCCCTTGTAGCACTGGGATTAGGAGAAGCCCCTATGTGGCACCAGCTTGCAGAGCAGAGGGTTTGGTCTGATAAAGTGGTAGCTTCCTGAACATGCTGGGAAGCCCTGGCCTGTGGCACTATTATCATATCGGACAACATCTTCAAAGCAGTATCATCTCAAAGCAGAGGACACTCCCAAATCCCCGCATCAGAACAGAAGGGACTATCTGGAGTCATTACAGCTGCAAAACAAAACCCCAACGAGTTTGCCCACAGCTACCTTTTCTCGTACGGCGGGGAGCAAGGCGTTGAAGCAGGTGGCCAGGAAGACCCCTCCTCCGAAGGAATTGCAGAGGGCAATGACCTTTCTGGAGCGATGAGCTTTCTCATAATCTGCTTCTATTATCTTGACAGGCAGGAGGGAACCGAGCAGCATGAGGAAAAAGACCCCCAGCAGACACAGAACTTTGACTGCTTTGATATTCATCTTGTCTCCCTGGAGAATGTCCCCTGCCAGGAACTCTGAAAAATGAGTTTGCTGGGGTCCTTCAAATAGTTACTTTAACTGTTATATCAGCATTTAAACAGCAAAAACCAGTGTCCAGAGAATCATGTTCCTGAGCTCGCTAGCTGTGGAAAGGAGCAAGACAAATGATATTTGCCTATGTAAATAAATAGTTAGAGCATGCGATAGAGCACCTTTCATCCCAAACTTGCATTTCAGTTTACATACAGGAATTACGTCACTCACCACTAACACGCAGCCATCTCTAGAGTGGAGGGAACCAAATAGCTAGCCTGCACAAATGGGGCTAAGGAGGTAAGCAGAGAAAAGGGAAATTTTCAAAGTTAGGACACAGGGCAAACTCATGACCCTGTAAAAAGCGCCACCGGCTCTTTCGTACTGAATAGAGGCAGCCTCAGGTGGCACAATCTGAGAGACCCAGGCATGGTAAAACGCAGAAAATGCAGGTTGCAATCCTGCAATAGGAGCCACAGGGGCAGAACTTTGCACCCATCAAAATCCAACTGCAGGATTCGGGCTTTAATTCAAGCCACCTTGGAAGAATATTACTTCATCTATGGTGTGGGTACCTTATGTTGTTGAAATTACACTTTTTAAAATCCACTTTCACCATTTATGTGGGTTTCTTTTTAAATTTCACTGAGCTGGGTCAGTTTCCGTTTCTTACGCCCAAACTGCAACCTCGCTATGGTTGGGCTGAAAATCCTGCCGCAACGGTTGGGCGGCCAATTCTGCAGGTGAATGGCTGAACTATTTAAAAAGCCAGTTTTAAATTAAATGAATAAACAATCCTGAAATCATGTATATTATTAGGTTTTGAAATACGATTATTTTTGCCTAGCAAAAATCTAAACCAAGCCTAAACCATCTGTAGTATGCCCTTTAAAGGGAAGCTCTTGGCAGAAATTCAGTATTTATTCTTTATTTTCTCATTCAGAGCAACAACAGAGTGGGTGAAAGAACAAACAGATGGTAGCTTCACAAAAGACAAAGATGTAAAACTCAAGATCCCTGGATCATTATAAACAATTTACTCTGAAACATAAAAGTTTTCCCCCCATATGGCATATGCAGCCAGGGTGCAATTTGTATTCCACAAAGCACTTTAAAAGAAGAAATGGGTTAAATTAAGATTAAACATTTTTTACAGGTATACTATCATCAATGATGTTTCCCTCAAGATCTAGAAATTAGGCAAAAGTACAGCTAAGATTCTAGCCCGTTTCCCTTAGCTATTACACTGAACTAATTTACAAAGTCAAATCAATGGCACGTTGAGAGGTTCTTACTGCTGTGACACAAAGGTAAAGAGTTCCATACGGCCGGGAGCACTCAGCAGTCTGAACCACAATATATTTCACTCTAATGAACAAAGACAAAATGTTCATAGCCACACCGATGCTCAAAGCAATAATGGACAAGGTAGATAATTGGATACCTGGTTACTGGACCAGCAAATGAGATTGAAAACAAAAAACCTTTGGGCTACAGATTTCCTTGAGGGGGTGGCAGTGTTTTCCTTTCTGAGCTGCATGGTTCTAATAGCAGAGGGGAATTACCATTTTGTAGATAATTTCTCCTGGAACAAAATTGTTGCATTATAACATTGTACCAGACCCAAAGACTGTTTTAATGCCAAAGTCATGTTTTAATGACTTGAAAAAAGGGACACTGACGAACCAAGTTTGCCCTTTGTAAATCCTTTGATCTCTAGGACAAAGTCGATATGACGTTTTGATCACGCTATTTTGTCATATAAACAAGACCATGCTGGGATCCCTGAAAATATTTGGGAAGGTTATTAATGCCTATAGCTCATACGACAGCCCTATCAAATTCGACTGGGCACGGCAAATTTAGATTGAACAGCCTTCTGACAGAGGTTGGTAGCTCCTGCGTTCCTAGGGAATCAAAAATGCTGACCCAAGACATGAGGGTTGGAACCGCAGCTGCATTTTCTAGCAGCTGCGGCTAGTCCCTTATTTGGGGGGAGGGGGGGGGGGCTACGCTCCACGTAGCTTTGCTGCCCCCTCAGAGCATAGTGCTGTTGGGTCACTGCACCATCACACTCCCCCCCCCGCAAAGTATGGCCCTGCCAGCCTTGGGATGTGGGAGAAAATCCCACCCTCCTCACAGAGCTGGGCCGTCGCAGGATAAAGTCGCCTCCTTTTGCATCCAGGCGGCAGCGCGGCCCCTGTCCTCCCCATCCCCCCAAACCAGCCCCTTGGTCCCTGGCGCCAGGCTCAGCCAGCACCGTGACCACCCGCCCCCGCTTGTCTCTGACTCCCAGGAGGCCCAGGGCTCCTCGACCCTCTCATGACCCGTCCCCAGGCTCCCACCCAGGGCCTCATGCCAGGCTCCCAACTCCCCCCCACCTGTCCTCCCCTCTAACCCCCCCCCGCCTCCCGCTCCACGTCCCATCCCCCCAGGTGCCCCCACTGCTCCCCTCCCCCCGGGCCTTGTCCCCCAGCACCCCCGGGTTCCGGGACGGTCCCTCCTCCCTTACCTTCGGGATCCTTGGCCGGCTCCACGCCCGGGCAAGCCCCAAACCCTGAGGTCCCACCCTTTCCGGGGACGTTCACCTGTGATTGGCTGCTGGGAACGCCCTGAGAGCAACCGCCGTTTCTCACTGGCTGGAGGGGACGTCAATCAGCGCCTCTGGCCTCGCCTACCAGCTGTACCAGGAAAATGCCCGCCCCCCCGGGCCACGGGGTGCGTTCCTGAGGAGGGCCCGAGGAGAAACAAGGGCCCGCTGTCTAAGGTTCCGCTGCCTGTTCTAGAGGCTGCAGAGCTGTCCAGGGGCAATTGGTGCTGAAAGTGGCATTGTGCGTATGGGGCTGGTGGTTTCAGCAGGGGAGGGCACAGGTGCTGGAACTAAGGGTGCTGCCACTCCCCCAAAATTGAATTGGTTTCTGTTATACACAAGGCTTATAGTTTGGTTCAGCGGCTTTCAGCACCCCCACTATAAAATTTGTTCCAGCAGCCCTAGGGTAGTGGGATGATTGCTGGGTTCTGCTTCCGGCTCCACCAGAGACTTCTTGAGTGACCAGGAGCAAATCAAATCCGCACCCTGTGCTTGTTTCCTTAACTGGAACACAGGACGAATACTAGGCCCCCTGAAGCGAGGCTCCGCTTGAACTAGCATCTCAAGTTCTGAGGGACTCTCAGATGAACAAGGCTCAAGCAGGGGAAGAATGGTGGTATCCGTGTGAGAACAGCAGCTTTCAACAGAGGCCTCTCCTCTGACAGAGAAAATGCTCGAGCAGAAGCTGTCTGCACCCCTGACCGCACAAACTGTTGCACAGGGACTATGGTGAAATCCGGCCGACATTCACCCACAGCTTAGGAAATGTCGACCTGCACTAAATATTCTCCCAACCTTTGGAAAAGCTGCTGTAAATACTCAAGGCAAGGAGCAGTTAAACACCTTTAGGAGATGGTGTGTGACCCTAGGTAGTTCCCACCCCACTGCACCAGTTTTGCACCTGCCAGGCTACCGGAGGGGGCCTTCACAATCCCACAAACAAACCCCTGGTCTTATAGGTAACAGCTAATATTTTGATGCACAAGATGCTGTTTTTCAAATGAATTTGTTTGGAAAGAAGATCAGAATCCATGGGATGTAAAATAAATGCATTTTGCAGGACATCATAAGGGGAAACAGGATGTAGCTACCAGTATTGGATGGGTGTAAACACACAAAAGAGGGAGAGGAATTGGTTTGACTAGATTAAGTACACATACCTAGGAACAAATAAGGGAAAACATTTAGGCTGAATACCCAGGAAAACTTTCCCAACAAAGAGATTTTCAACTGTGGAACAGCTGCAAGGGAGGTAGTGGAAGCCCCATCATTACCATGTGGTCTGTATTAAGCCCTAAGAAAACATGTGGTCAGGAATGATCATGAATTGAGTGCAAGAAGGTGGGGAGAAATTGACACTATTCCTTCAACCACACATCATCTCAAACAGCTGTGCTTCTAGCACAAACTCCACACGGAAGATCCTGCATGCAGAAGAGCCAAGTAGCATTTCTATCATTTCCATCAGCTGACACACATACACGCGCACAAACGTAATAGTAGCAAAGCTGAAAAGTAAACGGGACAAACAGCAGCATTTCCCAGTCTGAGGGGTGGAGGTAGAGAAGAAACCAAACCTGCTTCTTTCCAAGCAAAGGAGGTTTTGGGGGCAGGGGGCAAAAAATCCTCTCAAGTTAATTGGAAATCTGCAAAGAAGATGAAAGGCAGCTGGCTTTGTGAAACAGAAGGCTCTGAATACACAAAGGTGGGGTTGGAGAGGACGGATATTTACAGCCCTAGGCAGAGGAGTCAGTGGAGTGAGACAGACAGGAAGGCAAAGGCTGCACCAAGGTACGGGGAGGTAGGATGAATGATGAAGCAGGGCTGATCTGTCAGGGCTGCTCAGTGGAGAGGAAAGAGCCAGCAGAACTTTTCCCTTTGCCAGCTCCCAAATGACACAGCCACAAGAAACCTTTGCTTTTCCCTATTTACATCTGGCCTCCTTTTGTGCATGAGGGCTCAGTGACTGGCTGCGGTGACAGTGGGAAGGTGGGAATTGGGGGAAAAGCGGGTACTTATAGTTATCATAGCTACATGAATTTAGTTTATATTACTGTAGCACTTAGAAAGCACAACCATGGATGAGGGCCAAGGGACATCGTGGAGCACTTATTTTTCTCTCTAAGAGCCTCACCAGGCTCAAACTTACCAAGCATCGGTGAATTAAGACCAATATTCACTACTGAAGTTTACCTCTAGGAGTGAAAAACAGAGGCATAGCAGCACCTTAACTGGAAGGTTCAAGTTTCACATGGAGAGTCCAAGTTCTCCCTGGGACTGCTCTCGTTTAAGGGATGGACTTTGTCCAAGGGCTGAGTTTCATAGTTTGTAGTTTTTCATAGCTGGTGACAGCCACAGACATTGTTTCTTGTTGGGAGTGAAGTTATAGTCAGGCCTGACAAAGCCTGCTGTGTAGGTCTGCATCTTTCTTGCACCTGCGCAAAGTAATCATGCTTGTGAGGAAAACAGAAGTAACTTCAAAGCCAGAAAAGAGCAGTTTGTTTCCAGGGTGGGAGCCATTGATGGGGTCTGGTTATGGAGGTGGAGGCCATGGCTCTGGCTGAGAACCTCACTGTATCCATTGAGGCATCAGCTATGAATGCAGCTGCAAGGGAAACTTTTGTTAGACACACACCATTCACCCAGCTGCAGGAATGCAACGCTCTTAGAAAGACTTTTAAACCTGAAGGTTAAAAAAAACCCTTCAGTATCTGTGAACCACTGTTTAAAAAAAATTCACACCAAAAGGAGAAGAAGAGAAAGTTAGCCAATGGCTCCCACATTGAAGTTCTAAACTGCAAGGACATCACTCAGTTTCACTTTCTAGGTGTTTTATCTTAGTAGGGTGTTTTAAAATAAAAACATGTAAATGCATTAGTTAGTTTTAAATATAGCACTGCAGGTGCTGCATGTGAACTGCTAGCCACAGAAGGTCTCAGGGGACATAAAATGAAAGCCTCACCAAAGCACAACGTTTTCTGCACAGCGTACCTGCAGTGAGAGGAGTTGCACCCCTTCAGCTTGTGAGATGGACTGTAGATGCAGGTATTCCAGAGAGCTAGACATGACTAAATATTAGTCGTTTTCCACATGCTACACTGGATCATCCAATTGCAGCCCTTTCCTATAAAGTGGTCTCTTTTTGCTGGGAAGATGGGGGGAGAAAGTTTGAAGCCCTAAGAACAGTCTGAAAATGCCATGCCAGCTCTTGAACAGTCCACAATAAAAACTGTGGTTTTTACACACATGTAATGTGGGCTGGATGTTGTTTTTACAACACTAAATTTAAAGTATCCTTTGGGTAACCCTCAAAAAGACATAAAAAAATAAACCTGGTGACAGGACAACCCACGTGGGAAAGAAGGACCAGGAGGCCAAAGCAGTAAAGTCGTTCAAAAAAATGGAAATGAAAGCAGAGTGCAGCCCCCGGTGTGTGATTCTCGAATTGTGATCTTACAGTAGCCTCGAAAACGGACGAGAGACCCCAACCATTGCTCATGCAAGAACACGCTGCAACGTGTCCTGCCGTGCTGCAGCAGGAGGGTTTATTCAAAACTGTAAAAAAGCATCAGAAAATATTCTACTCTCATCAAGTCACATGAGAGGGACGTCACCAACCTGAAACCTAGTTGCTTAAAAATATCGAATTGAAAGTAATCTCCAGCTCCACAACTGCCCCTAAGCTTTGTGGTTCTACAATTTCATGTTCCTGGTTTTAAAATTGTTTCTTCTCCCATTACTTTGGGAAAGACCCACCTAAACAAAGGACACGGACTCTAAAAGGGAAAGCAACAAAACTGTCTTTATACAATGCTGTCAAATGCACAAAAAGAATAAGATATTGTTTCACTGAGCTCTTTCATTTCTACTAATCTTAGGTGTTACTGATAAAAATCTCGAGGCAGAAGTCTGATTTTTAAATTGATAGTGTCCCTTTAAAACATTTCCGTATATATCTAAAAACAACTGCTAAACTGCAATAGTTTAAGGGAAGAATTTAGGCCCAATATTTTCCAGGAGTTTAAGTAATAATCAGCTTTTGCAACATTTAATAAATATATTTCCACCAATTTTTAAAAAAATTGCTATGGGACTAGCTAATTTCAAAGTAGCAACATTCCCCGGCAGTGATTGCATCCCAAAGGTTGCAGCACAGCGCCAATGTACGACACCCAGACCGATACGGATTAGAAGCTGCATATAAATGAAGTGAAACTGACTAGCCAATTTTCAATAGCCAAGCTGAGCCACATACAATAGCAAATAAGCTACATGAAAAGGAAATCAGAATATTTAAAAATGTAAATTTTATCAGTCTCAGTTGGAATTGGTAACAAACGGAGAGACAGATTTCTAACTAGGTTGTGAATTTTCAGCTGGCATCTCTCCCTTGTTATTAATTTTCAATTTAACTATAAAAGATCCTGTCTGGTTTCTCTTTGCCAAATTGCTTAGAAATATGCAGGGAGAGAGTTTCAGGTAAAGGAGCAAAACAAGCAGCAAAGAGGGGTAGTGAGGGGGAAAGAAAAACCACATGTAGGTTCTGTCCGGTTGTAACTGTTGCACAGTGGAAGCAAGACCTCAATCCTGCAAGCGTTAGCACC